CGTGAGTTGACTGAATGGGTTATACGCAAGGACACAGAATTGTCAACACTTGGCATGGGGCCAGTGCGTGGTGATGCAGCAAGCTTACAGAAACAATTGGTAAGTGCCGACAACTGTTATGACAAAAACTAAAATCTAGAACAGCCAAGGTCGCATCAAAGCAGTAAATGTTTAAAATTTACAAAAACACAAATAAAAATAAAACAAATTCTTGAGGGAAATCCTTTTAACCCTTGCGAATATTATGACAGAAACAGGAGGAAGCTTACAATGTTACAATGACAAAAAGCGCAATTGTGTTCTTTAACAAAAAAGGAAAGAAATCACTTAACTGGGTCTCAAAAAAGGAAAAACTTCTAAAATAGACGTAGGATCCTTTTTATAAGTCAGTTTGGTAAGCGCATGTAGCACACATTTGTTATTTTCCGCACTGCTTAGTGTGGCTAGATTGCCTCACTTTCAGGACTCTCAATTGCGCTTAAAGTGAAGCCGTAAATTTGCGTTAAAAAATTGCTACACTGATTTTAAGTGACTTGTGAATGTAATTGCGTGGAAACTGACTGCATGACTGCAGCGGTATAATTCACTAGATATCTTTGAAGACCTCTTGCAGTGGTGCTCTTCGAAATATCTGCATAAGCAACATGTTTTCCCCTTTTCTTTCTAAAGATTTAATGGTCTATGAAGTGAGTCCAATTGTAATTGGTGGATGAAGGTGTGTAGCATTTTCCTATAGAAGCTCATTAAGCATAAAGTACCCTCAATACAATTATTTGTAATCGTTGCTTTTGTTAAATTTCACCAGCACTTTCACTGGCATTGTTGCAAATTTCGCATATCCTTAATGTGATGATTTGTATATATATGGGATTTTTATCTCTTTTATGTTCCCTTTTGTCAATTTAAAGAGGTCAAATGTGCCACTTAGCAGTCGGGTTGACCATGTTGCGAAGTGATAAAAGCAGTTAATAACACTTTATGAAGACAATTGATGCTTTTGTTACTATTTTAGTAGAAAATATTACATAAAATGATTAAGATAGTTTTTGCATGGAATTTCTGTAAGCAAAATTTTGCTATTCAGCTGTTTAGACTAGCGTTACCATACATTGAAATATGTTATGTCGTATCGAAATAAGGCCAGAAGAGAAAATAATCCATTTGAAGATCTGAATAACAAGACTCTTGAAAATTGATATAAGTATAAAGATTAAATATACATAAAATCGATGAAGCTACACTACCAAGCTAGCTAACAGTAGCGTTAAAGGGTTTTATTTAAAATATATTAAACAATCTTAATGTATAATAAATAAATAGATTATAAATAATTTATAAACAACTCACAATGCAATGGAGTACCTTCTCGTAGGCCATACCGAAAAGAACTGCTGAATGCGTCGACAAAGACTATGTACTAACAACCAATTCGATAAAAAAATTCATGATGCAATTTACAGAAAATAAAATACGTGTTTTATCGATAAAGCTGATAAAACCAGTGCTAAGTGCAATGAATTAAGGTGCAAATTGTAGCTACAACCAAACTTTTCGCAAAATTATACTCCCTGTGATTTAACCACATATTCACAATTTAAAACTATTTCTTGCAGAACCATTTTCATCAAGAAAAGGAATAATATATGTTATAGACACTACATCGATACCACTACAGAAACTAGATCCATAAATAATAGTACCGTTAAAGTAATTATATTAAAGTTTAGAGAGATTATATTATAAATTGAAGGCATTATTACTAATAAAAATCCATAAACTTACTGAACATCCTAGTACTAGTACACATGTACATTGATATATATTCGGATATTTCATACATAATTAAGCCATGAAAAACCGAAGCCAGTACTGAAACATCCACTCGAATGTCAATCGAATAGCACTCGATTAGGAATGGAATAATGCAAGACTGGCATTTACTCAAATAATTCTGAGTTCGAAATATTCAATGTTAGAGAGTTGCCCACCACAACAATCTTAAGCCCTTTATAAATAGTCTAATAATATCTTGAATATTCAAACAGTTTATGATATGAGTTGCTAGTAAATTTACAATACTGCTCTTATTTAGGAGATTTATATTTAAATATTGTATTTAGTAGTTATAAATTAAAAATCATTCAAATTAATTTCCAATCATAAGCAACATTTTAAGAAATTAAGATTTTATTTTGAAAATTTAAGAAAAATCAATTCATAAATTCTATATTAATTACTATGGAATAAAATATGAGCAGAAGTGTTTATTTAACTTCCCAATTTCATCTGACCGAATTGTGGAGTAACATTAACATGCTTTCTCTTTCTCTGAGGTTCTATACTCAAGAAAGACTAATAAAATCATACAATAAATAATGCCTCTACAAAAAAAAATTGCATTGAAATTTAGCAATTAAAAAAATAAAAAATAAAAAAATAATTAATTGATTTAATTATTCTACAGCTGGTTTATGATTTCGTACAACAAGTGAATTCGTTAAAGCATATGCAAGCCAAGTTTTGGGTCAGTTGGCTAATGAACACTGACCCTGAGCTTAAATCTGCAAATTTGGCAGAGTACGAGTTCAAGCCTTAGTACTTGCAGTCGAATTATTAACGAATAATTACATATAAGAAATTATTTCAAGTTCATTGATTAAGTAGGTCTCTGTTAAGAAGGTTCGTAAAGTTTAGAACACGTGTCTTACCTTTCGCATTTGAAAGTTCATTTGACTTGTACACTGTGCCTTGAAGAGAAGTGATTATTAATAAGTCGTATTTATTATAATTATTATAATGTAATATGTCGAGATAAACGTATTTATTTATGCTCAGTATTTTTTGTAATTATACCTAAAAGAAATTTAACGAAATAAAAAAAATATATCTGAAAAGATTTGGAGAAACGAGCTACTCTGCCGAAAATTATAATTATTGCGCAGGATGATAAAGGACGATAAATATCCGTTGCAATATAACAAAATTGAATTTTAGTATCAAATCATTTCGTAATTCGAAACTAGAATACTTACTTGCATTCCTATTGTTTAGAAAAGGAAACGAACCTTCTAGAGAATAAACGAAACCCATTAAATCTATACTACGATGACGATATTGTTATTCCCTTGATTTTGACCCTACAGGTGCAATACACAGAAACACCTAAATATAGAGCCCAGTTAAAATTAAAGTTGCTATTCTATAAGTACAGCCGAAGAAGAGTAAACCTATAAATGTTTATGAGAAAGTTTCGCGATTAGCAGCGAATAGTTTTAATTCTATCTAAATTCTATGTTGCAGTCATGTAGTGAAACGTCTATACAGAATTCCTTTAGAACAAGATATCGAAGAAAGCCGCGGCCCATGTGGATAGAAATGGTAATAGATGACAGTAACTAAGCCTTTAATTAACTAAAATCATTATTATAAAATAGAAATGTATGGAAAATGTACTTATCCATTTTGATGGTTTGCAAAATGCTTATGTTCAAGGAATAAAAGCAGTTTTATTCAAATTTATTATGTCTATTAGCCCCAAAAATGTTGAATGAGTAGGAATAGTTATCAAATCAGTGGTTGTTATTTCTTTCAAATTCTTTCAAATTTCTAAAGATCTGAAGTTTTCTCTTTTTTGCCATTTTATGGATAACTGGAAGTTATTCTATTTTAATTTAACTCATTTTTTTCGAAACTTTCGATTTTTTTTTTCAAACCATATAAATAAAATATATATTTTATGGACAATTTTTGAATGATATTTTGACACCAAATGAACTCACGAATATACTTTAAAAAATGTAATTTCTTTCCACTTCGTGGGCTAGGCTTTTTTTGAAAAAACTATTATTTCACTATATGTATGCCTACTCGTTTCCACATTAGGGAAAGATATTTTTGTGCTTATATTTTCGTAAGTAATTGTTTAATGACCCTTGCCATGCCACAAACCAGGCAAGTGCTATACCGACAGCCACGTATAAGCATACATTTACACAAATGGCTTTCAGATTCCTCCATAACATAAACTATTTTAATAATATACAAAGGAAATCACTTAAAGGTTTATACTACATGCAATTCACCACACACAGCCACTTTAGTTTCCTCCCATATTCTGTCATTTTTCAGGCAATGCTTGGTCCGCAAATTTCTGGTCTGCCGGACATTTACATTTAGATTATCGGTACTAGTGATGTGGCTAAAGTAGTACTTACAGTCAAGTGCCTGCGAAAAAGGATGTTACGCTTGGAATTACTGCAGCGTGCACAGAAAATGACCACAAGCCTGACTAACTTCTTTGCTGTTTTACTGGGTTGTCTTGACATAAAGTAGCTAAATGTATGAAGGAGTAAGTACTGGGCAAAGCTGCTCCTCTACTTTGTCAGTGTCCTTGCCCCAGCTTGTGTGGTTGGACAGTGTATTAGAGAAAATGATTTTTGCTTGCGGCAAAACTATTCGCCAGTTAGAAAGTATGAGGTTGTTGGACAAAATGGTTCATTTTTAATATATTGAAAATTTATTTATACATTTTATATCGAAACATCAAAATGATTGTTTTTTTCTTCGAATATATTTTTTCTAATTTCATAGTAAGGGTACGTTTTTAAAGATTAAATAACAAAAATATATTAAAAAAGTCTCTTACTTGAAAAGTCTCTTTTTTATAACAATTAGAAAAAGGATTAATTGCTGTCTAATTATGTTATTGGCCCATACCACACTTGTTTACATTTTAAGGATTAATATTGGTGGATGACTTCTGCAGTTTGAAAATTCATATACTTGAACCCTGCTTGGTTGTGGGTGTGTATGGGAAATCAAATCGGAAATTACACATGAATTTATAACATTCACAGTTAAGTGTTGCGTTCTGGCGTGGCATTGAAAATAAAATACCCCTGTAAATGTAATAGAGAAAATATCAAAAAATAAAGGATGCAAAATATTGTGCATATATTGGCTTCATCACCTCTTCAACAGCATCAAAGCATGAGTAATATTTCAATCTACTAAAGGCAGTAAATACTTTATAAAAACTAATTTTAATCCTCAATTTTACTCAAATGTGGTATGGGTTATGTTCAATGGATTTCGTAACATTAGTTTAAAATGAACTTTACATGGATTTATTATTTAAAGATTTTGTTTATCTCGAGTATTTTGCAATAATTTTATTCTTGTATGTTAAATCTAGTAAAGAAAACAGTGAATGCCTGAAAATAGTTAAAATATCTTGCTGTCATTATCACCACCTATAAAATCCCAAATTTATTATCAACTAAAAAGCGTTAACATTTTTCATATAATAAAAGGAATGTATGCCATGAGATATATCCATATATTTATTTTACGATGCCACTATAAATTTTTTACTGGCAGTAAAAAGTGGGCGAATAAGCGTTGTCGATAAAATGAAAGCAACAACAATAAAGTTTATTCGATATAAAGTTTGAAGTGCTGTTTTCTTAAGTTTTCATAAAGTTTTTTTACTTCTAAAATTTATTTTTAATTTTTCTATTTGCGATTTTATTTTGCAGGACGACCATAAAGCTTTCCGCCGTCAATTGGAGGATAAACGTCCGATTGTCGAGAGCAATTTACTGAGCGGACGTCAATATATTGCCAGTGAGCCACCTGTTTCGGACAACAGCGATACCGAAGGTAAGAAATGCTAGCTGTTATGCCGCACATGGCTTATGGCTTATGGCTTATGTCAGGCTTAAGTAATTTCGTATGTGTTCAAATACGTGATGTCTGACTTAAGTGCAAAAAACTGTAAAAGAAATCATACCTATCCACTAACACACTAACACACTCGTAATAATCAGAAATGCCTTAAATCCTTTAACACATACAAGAGTTTGTCGCTCTGCAATTGATTCGGGAATGACACACAAATGCAATTTTTTTAGTGTTAGTGTATATTTTTTTTTGTTTTTTTTTCTTCAACTTTTGGGCAATTTGTGGCACATTAAGTATAATGTTAATAGCTGCCCACACATATAAACTATGTACACATCCTCAATACATATCAGAGTGTGCGGCAAGAACGTTTAACTCGTTTCTGTAATGGTGTTTATGTTTGCATGTATGTGCATATGTGTGCCAGTTTGTGTACTTTTGTATGCGCATATGTGATTGAGACTCCAACGTTTTTCTTAGTTCTAGTTTTTCTAATACTTCAGTTTATTGAGTGCTACGGAACACGCATACAGAGGAGGAGAAAATATACCGAACAAAAGCTGCACATACTGTTGTGTGTGCTGCACTTCCTCGGCAACTACCAATGCCTTCTGGTAATTGGAGCAATTAATTTGGGATTATTTTAAGTCCAGCAAATTGTTTTAAATTGTTCTAGGATTGCGAGCCAATGAGATTTTGGCGATAGAAGCAACTAAAGGCAGCACGTTATTTATAAATCATTGTTATTGCTAGCAAATGTTTCTTAATTAATTTTATTTAATAATGAAGTTGTAGAGATAGGACATACTACAGAGAATTAGTAGGGGAATGTGGAACTCTGACCTAAATTACTCTCAGTCATATACATAACTCCCAATGTGTGATGTGATAATCATATACGTATTCTGCTTTGCAATAGAAATATAATAAAAATCTCTTTGAGTATTGACTATTGCTTAGTCAGATGAAGTGATAAGCAATAATCCAATAAAGGCGTAGAGAGGGGTTATGAAGAAACGTCGCAGTTAGTAGAGAATAAAAGTGCTCAATTGCACTGACTTAACTAGCATCAATATACTACTACTTACTATTCCAAGTGCATTCAGTAATCAAGTAATTACTCTAGTTTACAGCTAAAAATTTCCAACACCAAGACCAATATTTTCTATAGTAAAATTTTCAGTGAAATTTGTTAGCGAAATTATATATTCAGTTCTTTTCTGTATTACTGTTATTTGCAAAAAACAGTTATTTGGGTTGTCTCCAAACATCACTCTGCATATGCCCCCAAACTTCTTTTGTGTGGAGTTACTACATATAATATTATATCTCGTATAAGAGCTGCAAATAGACGAATATTTGAAAGTACATTGTGTCGAAGTTACTTAATTAGTTTAGCTGCTATAGCCAAAAAAGTGCAGATGAAAAATATTATTTTTACACTTTTTTTAATTTTTTAGATTTTTAATGTGATAGGACCGCCCATAAAGTACTGACAACTATCAGAAAAAATTCTAATTTTTCCGAAATAATTTTGTAAAAAATCATTATTTCAAAAACAATAATGATTTTTATTAATAAATGATTATCTGTAATTGAATTACTTTTAAATCGAAATCTAGCCATTTTTAAAATATTTGATAACATATGATGTAAAGTGAATCACTTTCGATAAAGTTATATGAAAATAGTTTTACAAATAATGGCAAAGCGGGTATTGACGACAAAAAAGATGATGCTATACATCCATAATAAGACACAATTGATTCGTTTATCCACGATAAATCATTATTGGGGTTAAAACGAAAAGTTGAAATGGAGGCTTGAATTAATAAGAAGAAGAGTATTTCATGTATGTCATGTCAAAAATGCTAAAACAAAGCCGAACAATAATCGAAAAGATCTGAGTGACTTTAAATTGTGATGAACAGAAAAATGTGAAATTATAAGCGTCAGTTTTGCAAAAATAAAACCCTGAAATTTTATTATATAGCAATAAAGATTAAAGGTTAAAAAATTTGTAATTTCATAAAAGAACGCAATAATATTTGGATTAATATTTAAAATTGTACCTAAATTAAAAATTATTTTCAATTTTCACTAAAAATTTGGAATTTTTGTGTGCCCCTAAAAGTACACTACACAATTTCTGAATATAAGTATTCGTTAGTTTAACAGGCAACTCTGGCAAACATAAGTAGAAGTCTTTCGAATGATGTTTAAAAGACTGAACGAAACCTAGTTTGAAAGATTTTTGATATTATGGCACAAAAGTCTTTCAGAAAATAGTTTTCTCATTTGTAATTCGTGATAAAAAGCTGTTTTGTGCAATTGCGTTCGTAGGGAAATCAAAAACAACTGTTAATCGCTACCACATGTAACCGAACAATTTCATTTCAATACGAATGTGGTTATTATACATAGTGTTCACACTATTAATAAAGTTAATAAACAGACGGACTTATATTTATGTAATTAAAACTTAAAACACTAATTTAACTATTATCTAACACCACTCTCTTATGCTCTACTCTCATATAAAGCTGGTGTGCTACGTTTTTATTTATACATAAATAATAACTTACTTAATTTAAGTGTTGTCATTAAAGAAATGACAGTAGTGGCTAAAAAAGACTATTAACTTTAAAATTATAGTTTAAAAATACATAAATATTTATATTAAATAAATATTAAAATTTGTATGCATAAAAAGTATAATAAAGACAATAAATCAATACTTCAATGTTTTATAAATAATATAATAATAATTACATTTTTACAAATTTTAATTAATTGAAATTACTAATCTTTATTTTAATTTATATATTTTATTGCATATTAATAAAATATTATGAACGAAAAATACAAACCGAATCTTAGCTGACAATCGAATGATATGGACAATAGCACATCTTTCATATTGTCTTCTGAAAGACAGAAAAGAGCTTTTAAGAAGGCAGAATTCTGACAGAATACCACACATCTGTTGAAAGATTTTTGTGCTGCGAAAAACTGTGGTGAACTGAAACATAGTTGCCAGAATTGCTTTGGAGATTATATTGAATTTGATTTAATTGAATTTCTTATAATCTCTACTCTGTTATTAGCTTTAGATGAGAATATATTGGATGCAATTCAATGAACATAGTTTTTCCAAAGCAATTAAAGTCAGCAAGACTTTCATATCCACCCTATTAATAACCATAATTCGTAATTGAATAAATTTTTTATCTTTTTAGGCAACCCAAGTAAACTGTTACTAATCTGTAATTTTTAACATAATATAATAATACTTAAAAATGTAGTTATTCAAGAATGTTAACACTATTAAAAGAATAATACAGCCATTGTTTAAAGTTATAACAATATTTCACTTCGTAAATATTTCGTAAAGATCCTCAATAATCTTATATTAGTTAAGACCCAGTACCCAAACTAGAGTGCCAGAAACTGTTTATCAATTACTTTGGAACTGAAATTCCATTAAACATTGCTGAGTTTTGCAGTCGCAATTCCCAATTAAGTTCTTTAATTTAATTTTAAGTGATGCTCAAGGAAATTATTTAAAAATAACTCAATTCGAGGAATTTGATTCTGCCATAATCTTTTCTCTTACTTTCTTACTTTTCACTTAAATTTTATTAGAAGTGAGAATTTGTGTACTGTTACCCAGTAGTAGGCGGCCCAAATTGCTATCTAAATACCCTCAGGGCATATAAGTTACTGAACTTATTTAGCGTAAAAAATGAATTTCACACGCTTTTTAACATTTTCGTTTGGTAGGGAATGGAATAGATGTTTTTTTGAACTTTTATTACATTTTTTACTTCATTTTATTTATTTATTTTTTATTTTTTTTTAATTTACAAAATTTTGCTACATAATAATTTGTTATGCAAGTTTGAAATATAAATTTTCTTTTTTTTTTTTTTGAGTTCACAGTGTAATCCAATTTTGGAAATGGGACGAAAACTGATGCCGCATTTTATGTAAAGTTCAAGCAGTCAACTTTACTGCAATTTTATTTACTAAAAATAGAAAATGTTATTTTGAAGTCTTTAAGATATGGTTTTGGCATATTTGTCACTTTTGCGCAAAATATGGCAAAAGACTCCATTTGAAATATACAATTTACTGTATTATATAAGTATATTTTACATATAAATTTTATTCATTTATTTACTGAAATTGTCTCTATAGCCGTATTTCGATCTTTATCACTGCCAGTATCCTGCTTCGGTCGCCTTTTTGTTTGACGCTCTAAGGCCAGTTAAATATATCAAGCTGTGTAAGATTATTCATTACTAGACCCTTCTATCTTAAAAGTGTTTTTTTTTTGCGATTTTTCTGCGCCATCATAGCTGCGAATATTTAGACGTTTTACAGCTTAAACAGCTCTCCGTTCCATCGAAAATGATATATAGGTATTAAAGATGTAAATACGACCAAAGGTATGTGCGGAAATTTTTCCACTAAAAATTCTAAGGACCGATCATCGTTATCCTTCATAGTCTGTATTTATGCGCTGTTAGTGAGTTGTACAGAAGTAGTTTTGTTCGTCGAAAGGGGGCTTCATTTTTCAATTATCTGTTAAATTTGTCGTAACATCCGTGCCAACATGCATATTCCCTTGAAATCCATTCTAATTTTATTGCTAGAATTAATCCTGATTTCTATCGACAATTATCTTGATCCCCATCGCTATGAAGGTGTATTTAACGATAAAAGGTACTTTTTTTTTTCTTATATCTCTATAGATCCAATCATAAGAAGTTTCTTCATTAGCTTTGAGAATACGTGCGATTGTTACTACCATTAATTTAATAATGGTAGTAACGAGATGGTAGTAATTAATATCACGAGACTGATAAATGTACTATTCACTTTTACATTTTAAACTGCTAAACTTCACTTCGTTTCTTTCTAGAATATTTTAGTTGCAATAGCAATGAATCATTTAAATTTACTTTAACTGCGATTTGAAGTCTATAATGTTTTCTGAAACAACTTCTTTTGCTTTTCGCTAGTACGGGTACTCGTATTTGTAAGTGTACTAAACATCACCTCATATTTTCCTTTTTTACTTTTAATCTCACCCTCTCTAAAATCTGCAATTCAATGCAAAATTGAGTTCCTGTAAGTATTTGCTTAAGTGTTTACTCAGTTCAGTTCTTTGTATTGCCATTGCCTTTTCCATCCTTCATCTATTTCTCTGTACGATTTTACTTTTCCTCCACATTTTTGCGCAGCATTCAAATTTCAATTTTCAACAAATCCACTTTAAATTTAATCACTTGCAATCAGCGTAATCAAAGGCATTACTTGACATCTTGTACACCATTTTTTATTCATAACTTTGCATGTACTCATCTGAATCCTGGCAGTTCCTCACAAATATTTTAATATTCTCTTCTATTTCTTTCTATTTAGCAGCGCACGATTCCGATTCACGTTACATGTCCGCCGAGGAGCAAAGCCGGGAGCTGACACGGAGCATACGCCGCGAAGTTAACAAACTTTCGGAGCAATGGAATAATCTAATCGATAGATCCGACAGTTGGAAACACCGTTTGGATGAGTACATGACGGTAAGTCATCATATTATAAAAATAAAGCAGCAAATATTCACACAAATTGAATGGGAAAAACTTCACTCCTACGCCGTAGCGAAGCGTTTTTCGGTAGGAGTTGGCAACGCGGAAATATGAATTTTATTGTTTTAATGCCGTTTCCCTGGTAGAAGGTGTCTACATTGTATCTGCATTACTTTCTTATAGACACGCTGCACATATGTTTGCATGGCGGTGTGTGTGAGACTACGTTGGGTGCACGTAATATGGGTGACTCTTGACGGCAATAAAAGATAAATTTCCTTTTCCGTTGCTGTGATTTTTGTATTTTTATGCTTTTCACGACGCGCCGCAACGGTCCCCAAAGTAAAAGTGGGCGGCAAAAGTCTTGAACAAGCAAAAATCCTTTTCAAATTACACATTTCTGATGCTGTTGATTTCGTTAGTTAAAATCATATTTTCATTAAAATCATAAAAGGATTTTATTTCTTCAATTTGATGCAAAAATGCAAAAGTGCAAAAAAGAATTTAAACAAAAGTTGAAAACGCATTTATTTAATGAAATTTTAATACATAAAAACTTAATGCACAAATTACACAGCAAATCTCTTGCCTCTTTAAGGCTGGCTGGATAAAGTATCTCGACCATGAATTGACCCAAATATTTGCTAAAAAAGAAAAACCTGAAGAGAACGAATAACATTAATGGGTAAACTATTATTTTTTTGTTTTTGTGTTGTTTTTGGCAATATTAATTATTTATATATCAATTTATTATTTTAAAGTGGTTTTATCTTAGCTGGAAAACTTCAGCAGATTGAACAAAATTCAAAATCAAGGCAATACAAATATGAAAGCAATTTAAACCAGAATGCAATTCAATAATTAAATCAAAATATAAAATGTTGCAATAATTAAATTCTTATAACCAAGCAAAATTTATTCGAAACCAAATTTAAAAAACTACCATCGATTTAGGAAAATTTATTATATATTATATATTTTGGTTTTGTCAAATATTTTATGAGAACTAATAAAATATTTCATAATTATCGCATTCAATATAATTTTAAATTTGATTTTTTAAAATAAATCAAGACGAAAAAAACTTCCAAAAAACTGCAAATTTTTTTTATTGTTTTTTCTTTTTGTAATTTTTCTGAAAAGAACATCTAAAGTTGCTAAGGCTAAATAGCGCTTAGCTTTAGCTTTTATTAAGAAGAATAAGCTTATAAGCTACTGCTTATCAATATTGCAATCAGCTTTATTGATCAGTTTTGGCTCGTTTGTTTCTAAGTTGACAGAAGCAAATTTCTAAGTCTGGCGCTGATGACAAGTATTTAGTCATACTAGAAACATCTGTGCAGTCAGCCCTAAAATTCTCTACACATTAATGAGGTTGGTCCTCATTAGTAATAAAGCACATGTGGAATTAAATGAAATCATCATGAAGTTCAAACAGTTTTAATGATAATTAATGTTGACAATAATGCCATTCAACTTCCTCCCTCGTAACTACTTATAGTATTTTAATATATTTGCTCTCCAATACAATAGTAATAACGTTTTGCTCTCCAATACTCAAGGTTCCATAAGCATGAGAATAAATACTCGAATATTGTACTTAAAGAGCAGACAGCCTACTTTTGTCTACTTTCAAACATCTTATGGGGGTGTAAGGGCATCAAAAATATGAACTTCAAAAATATTGGTGTTGCTATACAACACCACTTCTTTTAAAAAGAAGAAGAAAAAGAAGAATGATATGAAATTTTATAAATTATTGTTGAGGAATATTCTATTATTTACTTGAAATTCATTATTACTTAGTCGAAGCTGGTCCATTAATATAGTCAGAAATGATTTTTTTAGTAAATGTTCGTTTTTTCCTGCATGGAACATGGAACACAGCATTTGACATACATTTAGAACAAAATTTCAACTTTAATGAGCGATAAATCATCTGAACCACAATTTTTTACTAAAAGCATTTTCATTTTATGGCAGCTTGAGTTATCAAAAAATTGTTGGAATTTGTTGGAAACTAAACTGCACACGTCGAGTTAGTAACAACTTCCGCCAGAGCTGCCATTTGCAGTGTGGTTGCACTCAATTTAATGACTTTTTTACAGATATTTTCTGTATGACAACTCGTCTAAAAAAATTGCAGCATAAAAACTTAAATTAATAAAGTAGAGAAATAAACGATACACACAATAAAAAAATTGTTATTTGCCAAACGTATTTCTTTTCAAAGAAGCTACAGTAATAGGAAAATACAATGAAGTGTGAGGTGGGCACGTTGGAGGACATACGAAACTCATAACCTTCCTATATAGTTTTGTTCTTATTTTGTGAATCCGTTTGAGATATAGAAACACATTTTTAAATCAGAGTTAAGCAAATGAATCCATGTACAAATCCATACGAACCCTGGCTACAAGTGTGTTTACATACGTGGCAAAAGGGACAAATTCCAAGTCGTATGTATGCGGAGGGTTTTGGCTTTAAATTAAAACTGAAGTTTAAAGAATTACTATATATAAAAATCCTAAACAACAGATTAATTTCAACCAAATATAATTTGGTAAATATACTAAATTCAATTTAAATGAATTGCATATGCGATCTTAGCTGCATACTATACTATGCATACTATAGGTAGGAAATCAGTGTTTCTTAAAAAAAGATAGACTGATAGACATCTCAACATAATTCATGAATTTTTCTCACTTATATTCATCACCGCTTTAGCTCCTGGGATGAAAAAAAAAACTACAATCTTTGAAGATAATCTTTTTCAAGAGTGATATATTCATTTCTAACATATTGCCGACTTAAAACGATTTTTCATTGACTTGAAAATAGGCTTCAGAAAAACTAAACGTGTGTTTTTGGAGAGTCTAATTTTGAGTGGACAATGAACTATTTTGAAGTGCAAATAGTAAAACCTAGCTACTGTGATCATCTAGTTGTGATACGGTACTCTGCCGTGTAAAAGATCACTTTTCTTCTTCTTCAAAGACGTTCCCAATTTCTTGTTTGAATTCTTTGCTTAAACGTACCAATAACGACATAGGTTATTTGCTATAATTTTTTCTTTTTGTCAATTCATTTAATCAATAATGCCCTTTGTCGGAGCTATAATGTGGGGATTCAACTTAAGCAGGTTTAACCGACTAATATCCACTCAACCGATAATCAGTTTGGCATACAAAATTTTTAACATATATTGTATTGTAAATCCTTGACGCTTCCTTTTTGATGTAAGCGTTTCCACTTTTTTAAAAGCGGAAATACATTTGGCAAACAGTGAATAAGCTGCAACTTATATTTCTCAAATCAAATTAATCTTTAGTGATTAGTACATTGAACGTCATTAATGTTTATACAGCGCCTGTATATGTATATCTGTAAAGAAGAGAATCTTAATAACACTTACCGAAGAAAGAGACGTAAACTTCACTTATTGACAAGATGGATTGGACGAAAAATTTTAATTAACTCCAATTTTTTTGTTGTATTCCATTTTTATTGTTAAGGAAAAATAAAAATTTTACGTCGGATATTAAAAGAAATGAAAAATAAAATTTAATTAGAACAATTTTTTTCTATCTTTCTATAATATTAGGTTAGATATTCCTAACTTGCTAATAAAGCATAAAACTGCATACCTTTGAAGTTCTAAACATATATACATCAAAAAATATATTTTTCTTGATATTTATTATTATATTGATATTATTTATTATGATTTTATTATTTGGCAGAAAGATTAAACCACAATGATAGAGTAGTACCGTACTGAGCTACAAAAGTCATTGATCCCTTATTTCATTCTTTCTAAAATATCTAGTCAGTACTAAAGATACAGATAATAAATGCTCTTTTGAAATGCGTCTTACCTTCTCGTTGGTGTGTTTCGTAGAAAGTAAGAAAAGTCTCTTAGACCACTTAACATCAAAAGTGGCAATCTTTATGTTGCGTTCTCTTTGGGCTATAATAAAGCCCAAAGAGAATAACCAGCAAGAAAAATTTCATAGAGGCTATAATACTGTGTTAATTTATTATTATATTATCTTACAATAATTGTTAACAGTACTTACGCCTTTCCTTAAAATCGGAGAGTGTGAATTAAATTATTAGCACTTTATAAAATACACTGTGTTGCTTACTGCCATTCTTTTTCCAAAACGTACTGAAATTGGCGTAATTTGATCCTAAATGGTGCAAATTCTGAAATTTATTACTAAACAACACTGTTTTGCCTTAATGTCGGGGCACAAATATGCTGGCTCTCACGCCGGAATTTGAACCGACATATAGTTTTTTCTCTCAATCTCAATTTTATAATTTGCATTGAAAACAACAACAATTTTACTCATGCCGTGCCCGAGACACTCTGCATAACATGGCCCTTAGTGGTTATCTACAACCTTCCAAACTAAAGTAACTTAAATATCCCAAGCAAAAATAAAAACTGGTCGAAATAAATTGCATTATATTTCATATTGAAAATAATTATCCATGTGGGAGATAAATACATTTTCGTTAGTTTTTAAATATTTCTGTTATTTTCCTTTATAATACAATTATATAACATATATTATTATATTATTATTTATATTACAAACATTTTCATTGAAAATGTTGTGAACCTTTGTTCCATAGAACTTGTTTGTGAAATTATTTCATATCATTTCCTCTCTCATATTTTCTAACGTCTCTTTAGTGCTATTACCTTGCACTTTTGTATACAATATGGTCACTTTTTTTGATGCTTTTGATAGTTCTTGTACTTTTCTTTATTGTAACGTATGTTCTTGAGCTTGGGTGTGAGCGAAATGGTAGTGGTTGACTTTGTAACTGATATTCAATTTAATAGACGAATCCAATGCATAACTTAATTACTCTTCTAAATGGTGTTGAGAGTTTCATGAGTCATTCTTCTTCTTCCTTTTGTTACTTTTATTAGTGATAATCACGCGTTTTTTTTTTGTTTGTATTATGTTTTATGTGATGTTCTGTGTGTGATAATTAAATAGTTACAAAAGTTAATATTGCTTTTTATAAAGAGTTGTTCCCTTCGTACAGAAGCTACAGTGTTGCGCTCCAGTATTCCGATATTTTTAACGATTATGTGTGCTAACGACTGCCGAGAGTGTAGAGTGAGTGCTGCATAAATTTCACTTAAAAACTTTTTAGTCGGAGTTAATTGAAATTGAAATTCAATTTTACATTTTACATTTTAATTAATGTAATCAGAAATGGTTTGAGCGTTGAGGTTAAAAACTTTGAGCTGCACTGTCTCAAACTATACCATACTGTGTTGCTCTGTATTGCTCTGTGTTGTGTTGTGTCTTTTATTGTGTAATTTGTTCTCCACTGTGCAAAGTGCAAATGTGCTGTGTGTGCCGGTTTTGCGAGCAAATTTGCTTGTTAGAATTTTTCTTATAATTGAAATTGTAGTTATTGTAAAAGTTTTCGCTTCAAAATTATTTCAAGAATTGTTAATTTGTTTTATTTTACTCCGAATTTTGTTGCCAGATACATTTCTGACAGCTGCTGCTGTAAAAATTCATATTTATTTGAGTTTTCATTTTAGTTCATTTCATTTGGTTGCACATCAACTTGTTTAAAAGTTTTGAATTCATTATTGTGTTAAGGTCCTTGGAACAATTATTGCTAAATGTTTAATAATATTTGCAAACAATAAACAGAAATCAAAATAAAGTATATAACTTTTTCAATGTTAAGGCACACGCTTCAAAAGAACTCTTAAGACACATATATTATTTTGTTTAAATATTTCTATATTTTATTGAAAAACTTTTCAAAACTTACCGTTTCTTAAATGGTTTTTATACAAGTGTGGCCGAATGAGATGTATGCATCTTTTACATCTCACACAAATTCACTCAATTAAGAAAATTTTATTTT